TAAAAACTGTCCTCATATTAACCATTTGAAGGTTAATTTTAAAGCCTAGTAATTTTCACAGTAAAGATAAAAAGTAATTTAATGGTTACCTTCAAAAAGCTCTTCCAAAAAAGGACCAGTTCTGTAAGGATAATCTTAAAACACAATTTAAAAAAAAAAAAACTTATACTATATTAATTTTAATTTATAGCTAAGTATAAGCATGGCCTGTTTACTTTAACAATATGCTTAAGACTTACCTGTATTCTCATTAAGTGGTTCTTGATCAAAACGGTAGTCTGCTCAAAGAAAGAAGAATAATCTCAATAATGCTTTTAAAATACAAAGAATGGCAGGTGACTGACCAATCAGCAGATAATATTATAATGGAAAATAGCCAATGCTCATTAGTAGAGTTGCAAAATTTTGGGAATTAACAGGAATTTATGGGAATTAACAGGAATAAACTGGAAGTTTACTAAGTTGAAGGCTGGGAACATAAAATATAGTTGGTAAAAAATATATTGTAGTATAATCTTGCCTAAAACAATGAGATTATCTGCAAATCCAGTTGAGTATCTCTTCTATTCTTCAATCCCAGGCACATAGAACACTACTTACTGCAGGACTATTGAGGCCACACCCCCTGCATGCATTGTACATTCCTCCATCACATGCAGAATCACTTCTAGAATTCTCAACTACTAAAGCTACAACATAAAATGTGCCAAATGCTAAAGGTGATCTTACAATGCAATAACTGTACTGGTTACTATGTGAAGAAAATTACACTGTGAGCTTTTTTCACCTGTGCATGTTATTTCACCAGTGGTTGCATTTAATATGTTGTATTTTCATACCTTTTCTTGCCTGAGATGCCAAAGCTGGACCCTGTTTTTTCTGTTGACCTGCTGGAAAGTTCATGTTTATTTACATGTATTTTATATTTTCCACACAATAATTGAACACTCAATTCAAACACACCTGGTTGCACAATTGTTGGAGGCTGTGCAAATCTTGCTTTCTTGACTACCGTATCCTCCCCCTCAAAGTCAGAATTAATCAACAAACGATTGGGCCTGAAAATAAATACGTATATAAAAAGTATAATATAAAGAGTTACTTGGAAAGTAAGAAAAGCCTTCCAACAACTGTTTTGTCTACATTACCTCAGTTTTCGTTTTTGTTTGTCTTCTCCTTCTGAATCAATGTCAGATGTCATGCAGCTTTGATCACTGTACTTGTGCTCACAATGTCTGGCTTGTTCATAGGTGTCTGTGAGAAAACAAATAAGTCATTAATTCAAGATACCTGCATTTTGTTGGCAGACGTTATGGTTTGATTTCACAACTTTTCACAAGCCAAAAGTACATAAAGAAATTACAGAAATGTCACCTTTAGTGATGAGAAGCCTGACAGATTCATAGATTTCCCAGTATGGCTCTGGATTCTGGTGGTCTTGAATAGCTTTGTGAAGTTTGTGATGTTTAAATGGTGGCCAATGGCATTTTTTTTCCTCAATGTTATACCAACTATGTGGCACAACTGCAGTCCCTCCAGCCTCAAACTGCACCACAGACCACTGTACCATTTCACAGCTGATGTAAACTGTTACACAAAGAAATTGGTTAAAGCAACAAAATATCCCAACTAAATTTATTTGTACAACTGGACTGTTAGTTACAATGTAAAGAATTAGTAGGAAAAAACAACCAAACATATTGCAATATAATTTTGCCTAAACAATGAACTCTATATTCAAATAAATTTGTTTAATGTAAGTGTAATAGAGGACAAGCAATGAAGCTCTTGTTGTCTGGATAAAGAATATATTTCTGACTGATCTTGGAAAGTTCACAGAGTCCAAAGCCATCCTTCAAGTCACAAACCCTGTAACATCCAATGTAAGATGACAAACAAGGGTATGAGAAGAAGGGCGCCATGTTTTCAAATCGCTGATAAATTACATATATTCCATCACCTGACTTTAGTACATTTCTCACTAGCGCAATCTCTCCTGCAATGCTAAAGCAATTATTTCCTTGCTCAGATGATAAGGTGAACTTGTTGGTGGTGACCTTTTTGTACTGCTCTGATGTTTGAAGATGAATGGGCAAAGGGCCATCATAATGTAACTTATGTAAGATAGCTTTGCTGGACAGCCCTGGTAG